AAAAAAAAAAGGGTTGCCCATCACTTTCTCGTACTATTATTATTACGTTACGTGGTCAGAGCGGCAAGAGCGAAAATTCTAACGCGAATCTGTTATCTATAATTCTAATAATGGAATCCTAATAATTACACATGTTCATTACTTATTTTTATCGATATAATATTATATTTTTCATTAATTCAGTAAGCAGAATAATATTGAAGATTTAAAAAAAATATATATTAAAAGGACTTAAAATATTATATTTTGGACAGGTGCCTTTAAATGAGGTAACCAACGTATTTGAAATTGCGCGTCTAAGTTTATCATTACCTAGTTAATAATTAGGTATATTCACTGCCTAATATTTATCGGCAATACAAATTGAAAATTCGAGAAACCTTGTCTACTAGTTCACGAAGTTATGGCGTCTTATTATTATATTGACATAATAAATCTGTTACTTATAACAAATTACTCTGCACTAAAGAAAACAATAACTGAATGAGTCCCAGACATAAGTTTTTTTCTTACTTCGTTTTATCTTTCAGAAAACGAAAGAAACTCATCCCTTTATCCCGTTTAGATTCACGACCATTATAAATAGTAACGTAAAATGATATTATATATTAAAGCACGTTTCGTAATGAATAAATGAAAACTATATTCAAATATCAAAGCCGTCTTAACGCGAAAACTGCTCGCCAACGGCCTGTTGTCTTTCAGTCAATGTGCGGGGCGTGGTGCGGTATCTAAAGTTAGGGAGGGGTGGAGAGTGTCCGTTCTCGTTACTTTTTGTTCTCTGGCCGTGTCCCGCGTCGAGGGAAATATTTGTATGGCCTATATTTATTTCTCTCGTGAGTTTGGGTGTAATTTGTGGCTGTCTATGTGTGTGTCCTTGGCATCCGCGATACAGGGTTTCCCTAATGCGGGGCTGTGAGTGTGTACGTTATTATTATTAACTTATTACTGAGAATTATTCGGAAAATATTCAATTTTATTGTGATTGGGTTTCCAAGCTTCATTGGTTATAATCCTTTTCGGACAGCCGACATTTGGTTCCAGTAGAATTTTCTATTATTTATGTTCCCACAATCCATGTCAGAAAAGCACAATTTGTGCTTAATTAAATTAATTGAGTATCCGGTATCTTTGGAAGTAAGGTGCGACTAATTCTAGAATTTTGCAACTAGAACCAATTAATTCACTACTTTTACTGGGTGCAATCAATCTACGGTAGGAGTTGTGGTTCTCGAAATTAAAAAAACGGTGCCGCTGGAATAAATTCATTTCGGAGTACGTTGTTGTTACGTATAAACGTAAGGTAGCAATTAAATTAAAATCTTTTAGCACAGCCTTACTCACTTGTTTACTGAAAAAATCGAAATTAAAAAAATGTAAATTATTTTTGGTTTTGTGACAAAGCAGAAACACCAGAAAATTTAAAAATTGTAACAGTTTAATATTGACTAAATATCAAACTTTAATAAATACTAAAAACCTTTTGAACTAAAGTTTAAACAGAATTTATGAAAACGCAAAATCAACCCCGAACCAGTTGACAAATCTGTATTAGAAGGGAATTAAAATGAATGAATGAAAAAAAAATAGTCGATTGATTTTTTATTCTAAAATAACCAACCACACTTTAAAAAAAACCTGCATTTTTAGGGATTTTAGTAGTGTTCCGCAAATGTACCGGTGTGTATATTTCGACTGAAGGACGTCGAATCAAAGGTCATGAACAAATTTAAAAAAACCAATGTCATGAAAAAGGTTTAAGAAAATGAATTTCATACCGACCAAGTATTTCATTTGAAGGAATATTAAAAATAAAACATCATAATATGAAACCTGTTACATAGTTTATTTTGTCCTGATGTAAATATAGCTTACAATGCAATTTCAATCCAGCAGTATATGTACAAAGAGTCAATCTGAACACCCAAAAATACAAGGAGACATCATCTTTTTTATTATCTCTATTTACATACATTACATTAGATATTTTTCACATAAGTAACTAATAATACGAATTTAGATGCGTATTAGTGCCCCAAAACTGAACAATAGATTTGTAAAAAAAGTTGTCAAAATTATGAAAAAACTTATACGTTTCACTTTAAGTGTTCAAAGGTTACACCTAAATAAAACATTTAAAAAAAATTATATTAAAAAAATATTTTTCGATTTTTTTGTTAATGCAAGACGGTCATTTTCACATAAAAATTCAACATCAAGATTCTAATTAAATTAAATTTTTGTCCATTGTTTGTGTTTTACTTTCCACAGTACGTCGGATTAGAATCTTGATACTTGTGTAATCAAAACTGGAACCTCTTTCTCATTATAATTCGTTTTCAATAAGCGATAGGAATGTTCAGTGTAATCGCCGTACTCCCATAAATTAAATTTTAGATAAACAAATCCAGATTTCCTAATCGATGTTGCGGAATTCCTGGACTAATGGATTACACAAAACATACGCATCGGAACGACGATACGAAAGCCGTAATGTCGCAGAAGCTCGCGTTTAATATTGGTGCATTGCAGAATCAAGCTGTTACTTAACTTAAAATTCCCTAATTTCATTAATAAATATTTCGTAAATATCCAACCCTATCGCTCAGCAATAAAGGTCAAAAATATTTTAGCGAACAACTTAATAATATACTTTAAAGACATTCATAACATTTCATATAATACATACGTATATATATAGCCGTAACCACCGGACATTTTATTCTAATTAATTATTTTTAAGTCGCAATAGGCAATATATACTTGGCTGATTAAATTATACTATCGTTGTTACATATAATGAACAGATTAAATTCGAATAATAATATTTTTGGGATACTGTAAATATATTAGGATAAATTTAAGTATCGATTTTCATATCACATAGAATTGTGTCAAGATGGACCAAAGGGTCATATCTGGTTCTAGCCAAATGGCTGTATAATATGTTTGACTGGTGCCAAGTAAGGTTTTTTAAATTTATTTTGTGGATCCCAAAAATTACTTTGAATATAAGATCTGGCAGTATGGTTAAGACGTCTTAGCCTGTCTCGATGAACAAAAAAAAACTACCAAAATTACTAATGATACAATTTGTCATTAGGTGTCGCTAAGCAAAAGGTATTTTGAATTTATTAAAATCTATAAAAAAGATTTATTGTAACGTATTTTATGTCTAGTTTACACCTATCAAGTGATGAAGCAATTAACTTAATATTAAGTAGCCCTAAGGTTTACATGTGTTTTAGTGAAGCTTTATGTGCCTAGTTCGGACTCACCAGTTGACTTAGTATTTTATTGATAATAAAAAAAATGTTACTGTAAATTGTATAACAATTAGAATAAGATTATGATAGGAGTGGCATGTTCTGTGGGAATTTTAAAGATTTAAAAAAGTACTTTGACAATTTGCAAACAATACGTTAACTCACCAAGAGCTTCAAATTTCTAGTTACGCTTACCGGGGAATGCGGGAGGTGCGGGAGTGGCGGCTTGTTCTCCAAAAAATTGGTTTTATTCTGATCTACTTATCCACTAAACAATGATTACTTAACAGCTGTTAAGTGATTGTTTACACTAATAAATTAAGTTAAATTTTAATTTTGTTAATTCCTTCATCACTTAACCCGTTTATGGCCAATAATAATTAAATAACACCGCACACAAAGTATATAAGATCATTGACCGCACACAAAAATGTAACTTACTTCTTTTTGACCGTAGTGCTTATATATTATATTTTATGATGTTATATATGTTTGTTGTTTGTAATGTTATATATTATTACAAAATGAATCATATAATGTACAAAGAGTCAATCTGAACACTGAAAAATACAAGGAGGCGCCCATGAGGCGCCATATTTTTTAATCATATTTTTTTATTATCTCTTTATTAAATAGTTTATAATTATTAGGTATTTTTCACACAGGTAATTAATAATACGAATTTATATACATATTAGTGCTCAATAACTGAACAATACATTTCTAAAAAAATGTGTTCAAATTAAGAACAATGTATATATTTCAGTTTAAGTTTTCAATATAAATCATTGAATTTTGCTAGTACGTTGTTCATACTTCTCTATGGAGAAGCGGCCATTACATAGAAATCACTTGAAAATCGCAATGTACAGCCCGTAGTTGGTTTCATATTCTGATATTTAATTTCACAGTAAACGCCGTTACTGTCTTTAAACGGGTTAATAGTTGTAAACTAGATATTAAGTCCAGAAATCGTTAGATACAAAACTTTACTACTTTCACAACAATCATGGTCACTCTTACATAAATATTGAGCACATTATTCTTAAAATAGCGTCATTGTAGCATATAAAAAGGGAGTTGTAGAAGTGTACCTGTAATAAATACAACTTCGTACAACATGTCCAATATAAAGTACCTTTCTTTCATTCATGTTTTACCACAAACAGAGTCAATGTTAGTTATTCGTAGGTTATATTGTCATAAATACAATAAATATTGAACATACATCTTAAAATAGACGGTAAAAGTTAATTAGTATTGTAAATGATTACAGTATAATTTATGAATTTCACTACAGCTTTGGTGTATAATACATCAGTTCACAAGTCATTTAACGCGCATGCGTTTTTACGTCACTGTAATAATACCTGTATTTAAACAATCACGTAAATTTTTGCAAAAGATATCAAACAAGATATAGAATCAATAACAAAAGCACTCCTCCAAGTAACATTTGTAATGTTACATTTGTAATGTTTTTATAAAAATATAATTATTTTAAAAAAATGTGGTGCAGGCCAATATGGGAAAAAATAGACATTATGCTCAAGCCTATTAGGTCCCCTAGGTCCTTAGGTCCATTAAGCCTTCAAAAAAATTAGAAAAAAAAAATAGAATTTAATTATTTTTGCTAAGCGGAAATAAGAAATAATTCTTAAATTGTATACACTTTTTTCGTCATGGTGGAATAACTACTTTATCACCTTGTGCGTGTTTTTTTATTTCTATTAAAAATATAGTGGACACTAACGTTAATACAAAAATTATAAACTTTTCATAATGTATAGTTGCTATGTAAGACTAAGTCTGGTACTTTTACATAACCAAGACAAAGTCATTAACAACATACCGACCTTTTCCATTTTCAAACGATACGTCTATTGTTATTTACGTAATTGACTACACATACATCCATAGATAGACAGAATGCATGCTGCTATCGAGATCAGCATTGATCCAACTCGACTCGTGGTACTTCAAAGTAGGGCAAATTGAGCTTGAACGAATTAATGTCGCTGATGAAATCGGCATTATTTTCCGATGTGTCGCCTACGGGTTGTCGCGCATCGAGGTACGTCAGAGAGTACTCTTTTCGAACATCCGCCGCTGTCGTGTCCGAGCCGGGTTTGTGACCCATTACCTGTATAGAAAAAAAAATACTAATATACTTATGGAATAAAAAAGCCACTACAGTACGAACCAAATGCAATGTCCAAATTGTAAACAATGGGAATAACCACAGAACAATAAATACAGTAGAAGTGGTTAATTAGCGTCTGACGTGTCTCTATAGGCCAACTTTGGATCTCGAAAGACCCATCTGAGCTTAGTCCGTCATTTTCGCTTTGTATGGTATGGTTGTGTCATTATTTTGTGCAAATGGGCATTGTTCATTTTTTTTCAAACTCTCTGTTACAAAATTCATTTCGAGGAATAAGGTTGCTGATTAATATTTTCTATGTATTTGTCAATATTACGTTGAGATTCTTTATGCCTACTTTTCAAAAAATAGTATTGACCTTTATATGACATTCAATGACATCATCAGTGGCTCTATAATGTTTTGTCCGTGCGTAATGCAAAGCAAAAACGCAAAAAAAATTAAATGTCACTTCATCAACGTTTGTAAACATAAACATAACCTTACTATCTTTGCAACTTTTAATTTCGCTGCCGGGAGACAAAATATCAAATATAACACAGCTATGGAATACAACAAAATATCAAATATAACATAACTATGGAATACTCAAAGTGCTTTGTTCATACCTACGAGAATGGTTCAATAAATAAAAAATAAATCAAACAAGATCTTTGTTTAGTGGTGTCGTGAAATAAACATGAGATATTTCAAAGTTTACACTATTTATTGTTGTGAAGATCACTTTGAAGTAAATTGATAAGCCTGTATAAAACAACACTTTGTCTTTCTTTTCACTGTTAGCACTACTGTGTCAAACGCACAGTCAAGCTGCGCAATATGAAATATAAAGATAATAATAATATGTTTTCAGCATCCAACTGAATCAAAAGACAGTGAATTGCAAAAACTGCTATTCCAACCTAATATCAGCATGACAGCAAAAAAAAGAAAACATGTCGAGTTTGTGTAGTCCCTAGTACATCTCCGACTTGCACATTACTTGTAAAGTTTATTTAGTTATATCATTATTCTTGTGCTATGAAGCATTATTATAACCAAAATCTTGTTGGTTAAGAAGTATCCAATCTATTTTTTAGATACATGTTGCAAAACAGTGTGAAGTAAAAATGGTTGACAAGAGTACAAATTATATTCTGTATAGGTAAGAAATTTGTTGCTGGTAACGAAACAGTAATTATCGTGGATCCTTATCCGTCAGATTCAAAGACAGACTATAAAAAAAGGATATATTTAAGTTAAAAAGAAAAAATGTTATTTTGTGGCTTCCAACAACTTATGTGTGAGGTATCGATATATACTTCCAAGTCAATTATGTATGTGCATCCAGTCTGCACAAAGTGTAAAAAGCAACTGATAGAAATCCGACCACAGCCGAAACATGAAACTACCAAAATATATATTAAAAAAAGTTATACTGTACGAGTTTTCTAAAACATTATATCATTCAATATTGAGCTGTCATATAAAATAAAAAAAAATATATTACCTGCACAGATAACTTTTTCAAGTGTTGCCTGTTGCCGCAAGGGAAGTGGTCATCCACCCATAGTTTGATATCATTTAACGTGACGCGTTCGATGGCATCTGCCTGCAAAGCCATTATACATATGTAACTTCAGGCATGCTTAAGGGTGCGTTCCCATTATGTCGTAACGTTTTATTTATCATTGGACGACTGTCGCGTCTACCCTGATCCCATATCACGACTATTTGTCGTGACTGCGTCGTGGACGTTTATTTTATCGTTGAACGACTGTCGTGTCTAGCTGTTTCAACTAGATCTTAACGACAATTTATCGGTTCATGGTAGCTGCCTTGTCGTTTGCACGACAGAATCGTTTGAAGCTACGGTTATCTGTCGTCACATTTTTATCGTGACATTTTATTTATCGTAGGACGACTAGCTAGCTCTTCCCATTATCACGACAGTCTGTCCTCGTAACGTCAAAAAAAATTCGTGAACGACAGTTAATCATGTTTTACTATAATGTGAAACAACTTCATTTAAATATACAAGCCACGACACTTTAAACTGCACGACTATATGTAGTCACGACATAATGGAAACACTGCCCTGCCGTGCAGATTCGACTCCAGCCGGATCGAATTCCTTCGATCCTTTCTTACGGTTCGATCTTTGTATTAATAAATATAAGAAACTAGTGAAGGAATTTTTTAAAAAGTAGCTGAATATAAATAATAGCAATAAAACATCATGATATCCAATCAACTTAATATAACAATTATTATACTTAATATAACAATTATTAATCTCTAGTCGACCGCTGGTAGCTGTAAAGGTGCTGTAAACCTGACTGAGTGAAGAAAAACTTTTATAGATTTCTTCTTTAAAACCTAAGAACTCGATAACTTTTATAGATTTCTCACAGACACGCGCTATGGCAAAAAAGTCGTTAAAAACCATTAATACTATGCGTAATTTTTATTTACTAATGTCTCTAGTTAAGAACAGGGCCATAATGGTGTCTGAAAGTTATTTATAACACAAATTTTATCTTACCTCATTGTATTGTCGATTGAACTGGTATTCTCTGCTCACAATCTCCCTCCAATTCCTCTCAACCTGCAAAATAAGTTTTTCTTTTTATTTATACAGTGTGTTCTTTTAGTAACTTGGGAAAATCCGTAGTTTCAGATTTGCTCATATTATCCCAGGTGAAAAAAATACATATATTCGTATAATATAACTTGATTATTAAAATACTCGAAGACATACGTTCTCTAAGAGTAATGAAAATTTTATAAAATAATGTATTTATCACAGTAAAATTTGATAACACAACAACATACATTAAAGTGATATTCCATTGGTTACGCAAGCAAGGATTTTACATTCATTGCAAATTAAAACTTATTTTTCGGATCAAAATCGCGTATATTTGTTTATTCAAACAAACCAAGGCATTTCTAGGTCCCATGGTCACGGCTGATTCTTGATATTTTATATTTATGTCTTATAACTGTATGTTTTCCTAAATAAACATACATTAAAGTGATATTCCATTGGTTACGCAAGCAAAGATTTTACATTCATTGCCAATGAAACTTATTTTTCGGATCAAAATCGTATATTTTTGTTTATTTAAACAAACCAAGTCATCATTATTATAGATTCTAGATATTTTATATTTATGTCTTACAATTGTATGTTTTCCTAAATAAACAAATAAATAAAATTTATATAATAGAAAAGCGCGTATTGGAATATTCCATAAGGATGTCGTCACACTTATCGAAACGACTTGAGCCATTGAGAAAAGTTCCGCTTTTTCTTCACGTTTTTTCGCCCTTATTGCATGGACATAAAGAGCTTTTCTGGCTGACTCAAGCCGATTCCGTGTCTGATAAATGTAGTAACTCGCTAATTTGCAAGTTCCCATCCCCTGTGGGAGCTGCAATAATTTTCATATGTCTTTGGATAGTGCCATTTAATATGTCTCGATGACGACGCATATTTCTATTTTTCTAATAATATAGCAACGTGTTAGAGTGAGAGAGAGAGATAACTTACCTCCTCCTTGAGTTCGTAGTCGATAGTATTCTTCAACTGTATGAGACTGCGCTTAGTAGAGTTGAGCGTCTTTTCGTTAAGACGGCGCATGTCGCGTGCAAACTTCTTTAAGAACGCTTCGACGCGCGTGTCTACGTGTGACACACTGCAAACATGCAAATAAGAGCGTTGTAAAAATACTTCACAATTTATTTTCTAGGTGAACGTCATTTTACGTCAGCAGGGTTGTCATTTTTAGCAAAATTTTAATAGGCATGTAATTGTAGTCGATAGTTTTATCGATAAATTGTGACTGGAGATAAAATTTTACAGAAACGCTCGAATAGCGCTTGTTGTGGAAAGGATTTCTATTATTATTTCTAGAATGAACTACTTGGAAACATTCGTTTTTTTTATCGTATCAAGTGATGTGACGAGCAAGTTGTGCGCCTGGTGGTAAGCAACATTCCTGTCTATAGCAGTGGTTGCAGTGCCACTCAGAGCCTTAAAACGCAAAGATCCAAGGGACACCGCCACTACGCCCGTCACCTTGAGACATAAGTCGACAAGTCCCATGTGCCTATAATTTCCCTGCCTTTCAAAACAGAAATAGGTAAGGTGGCAGTATTTCTTTGGACGAACACTATCACAAGCAGCTTTATTACAGCTAACCTTGTAATCAATTCAAGTATTTCTTTACTTGCAAAACTGGTAAAGTGCCGTATTCTGGGCATTCCAAATTATTTACTCTTACCATACCTGAACTTATCAACCTGCGTGTTGACTGTGACAGAGAACCCGAGGACGCCGAACGTATACCGCATCATGCTATATACGCTGTAGCCCAGCTGCTCTTTGGTTCGAAGAGAATCAAATACTGGCTCCTCCATTAACATCTGTAATAGTATATTATTGCAGAGATCGGGAAGTAAGAAACTGCTAGGCGAGTAAGAGTTAAAAGGCCGAGCGCGAGGCCTTGTGTTAATTCAAATCAAGTAATCCCCATTCCCGCCGAGGCTTATGTAGTGACTTTCTCAAACAATGTGAGGAAATAATAGACGACTAAACAGAAGAAGATGTATAAAAGAAAAAGTAAAAAAAAAAAAAAATTAAAAATTAGTATTTGCAGGCATTTTCGTTATCGCTCTTCTTGTTAGAACTTATTTTCGCGACGAACATAGAAAAAAGGCCAGAAAAAAACAGAAAAGAATACCAAAGCGCTTTAGTTTATTTTACCGCCTTTTTAAAAAAACCCTGGCAGTTGGCTGTAGTTGTTTTTCTGCCGGGAAGAAGTCGCCCAGTCTATAAATGACAAACTTTCCGTGTTCGTTTTTTGAAAGCAATGGAAACATTTCCGAGCATGTTTGAGAAAAAGTTATTTTACTTTGAAATATATGAAGTGATTTCAACAAGGCACGAACACCTGACTAAAAGTAGAACCGTTTTGCAAAAAATACACACATTAAAAGTGTTTAAGAATCGAGGTATTTTTTTAAATATTTGATTACCCTATTAACATTAAGTAAAAATATCTATATAAATTTATTATTTATTTATATGAAATTGTCAAATTTACCAAAAAAAAAACCGATGGTGTTACAAAAAATTAATTTAAAAAAATGATATTCAGCAATTGACAAAAACGTGCTTGATCCCTGGATATTTTTGATGAGTGTGTAATAGATACAGAGATTAAACAAACCCAAAGAAAATTCTTTCGATTCGGCCGGACTTGGAACCAGCGACACTTTCGCCTAACACGGCCTATCGCTCTCCCGACTGAGCTACGGAACGAGTCAGCAGACCTTACTATATTCTCTATGTGCTTGTTGCAGATCTTTGGTTTTACCTCTTTTTATATATATATTATATCTTATATATATATATATATATATTATATATTTTTATATATTATTTTTATATTTATATTTTTTCGTTTATACCTCTGCAACATTGCGGATTTTTTTTTGGGAGATCGCTAATAGTCTTTAATCGTTCGTCGTTGTTCAGCTGTTGCCGCTAGATGGCAGTAAATTGAATGAAATTTCAAAACGTCGTAACTTGCAATAATAGGTAGAATTTTTAACGATATGCCAAGTGGGTAAAGTTTAAATTATATTAACACTCCAGAATTTGTCACATCTTTTTAAATTAGAAAGTACGATTAATCATTATCAAGAATGATAGCGTGAATTTAAGCGACAGCCGTTCTGATTGTAATTGAGGCTTAAGGCACTTCCATTGTTTTTTCTTCTGTGGACAAAATAATGCTTACAGTGAGTATTTCGAGCACAGCGGTATCTTGGGGCGTAGTGGTCTCGCCTTGATAGTAGTTGGTTACGATGCTGTTAGTCGACGCTGGGTTCAGACTCAGAATACGCAATTTCTTCTCGCCCTTCGGCAGCTGGTGCACTTTTAGCTGGAATATGTGAAGTTAGCTTGTTTAGATTTTTTTTTCAAATCTTAATTATTATTTTTTATCTGAGAAGGAACGAATGGTGGTACATAATGCTGTATTGGTTCCAGCACTAACGTATGGGAGTGAGTTTTGGGTATGGTAATGGTGATTCATAGTCTTGTCTCTTGCATTTTTGACTAAAAATTATAAACACGAAGAAAAATCGGTAGCATTTTACTATTGCCAATCGTTCTACACGAGCAACCTGCGGTTCAGTTATACTAAAAAATCGATTAAAGCCCTACGAGTCACATACAATAATGGGTTTAAAATGTTGATGGGACTGCCCCGCTTTTGAAGTGCGTCTACCATGTTTGCAGAGGCGAGGGTTGATGGTTTCAATGCCATTATCCGCAAAAAGACAACCTCATTGCTTTGCATTGCATTTTACAGGTCATACATAATAGATATGAGCTATCTACCTACCAGACCTGGTGCTGATTGAGTAGTCTCACAAGAGATTGGCTCTGGATGCGGGTGAGAGATCTGAGAGTCGGCTACCACTTTTTTATAATTAAATTTTTATGCAACTATTTATTATTATTACCACTAACCTAGTCTTCAAGTTGTATTTGTGAGTTACTAACACTATTGGACCTTTAAAAAAATTGTGTTGTCTGAACAAATAATTATATTATTATTTTATTGTTTTAATTAATTTTATAAATATTAAGTTAATTTGTTATGCTACGGCCACGCTAAGGTTTAATGGCTTTAATATCACACTAAGCATAGTTGTAGTCACGACTCATCGCGATAATTTTACTACGGTATTCACTAGGCATTACACGACAGCTCGGTCTTTTTGGCATATCAAAGAGATTTATTGCGTTGTTTAATGTGTGTAGTGGCCACACTGACATTAATTAGTGTTCCGCATGAGCGCAACAGGATTGCACGTGTCGTTCGGCGACGATTCAAGTATGGAGTGGTCAAATGAAAAAGCGCTCGAATTTTTTAAATTGTTTTCAAACTAAACCCTGTTTATTTCTTTTTTTTTATGATTCCAAGTGACGGCTCGAACAAGTTGTGCGCCTGGTGCTAAGCGACACGGCTGTCCATAGCAGTTGCACTCAGAGCTTTATATCGCGGGGGCACTGCCACTGCGCCCGTCACCCTGACACGTAAGTTGATAAGTGTCCCATGTGCCTGTAATTTCACCAACACCCTTACCCTTGAAAACCGGAACGCAGCAATGTGAGCATTACTGCTTGGCGGCAGAAATAGGTAAGGTGGCAGTACTTCCGTGGACGAACTCTTTCACAAGGACCTCTACTGCTACTGGTGTGGTTATAGTATTGATTTTGCTTCGGTTAAGTGCAAAAGATTAATATAATAACAATTCAACCTCCATCTTGGATTGATGAATGATATTTTCAACGCATAATTTATTGGCATTGGATCTTAGGTAGAACCTCTACTTCACACCATTTTTAGGGAGTATTTTTACGCTTCATTTGTTGCGATAATGGGCGTTAGACGTTAACCTTAATGTGACCCCAACACCAAGTTATGTTTATCAAGATAATCATTGTTTAACTTTGAATCCTCTTATAAATACCTCAGGGTACTCCTCTGAAGTGATGGGCTCCCATTTAATAGTGTCCTGAACCTTTTCTGCTATTTTGATAGCATCGTGCCATGCTAGGTTGCCTTGTACCAAAACCTGTAAACAATTGGGTTTTTATTATACTAAATTGTAACATAATTTGTATTCATAGTATAATAAAGTCACATGTCGCACTTGACAACTAACATAGTATTATCTCACAAATTGCGTTATATTATATTTTATCTCAAAATTGCGTTATAATAATAATTTTTCTCCAAAATTTCGCTATATTTGTATGTCATTCGTATACGATTTAACTTCAAAGTGACAGGACAACACTGTCGCTTTGAAATTAAATAGGTAATATTAATATAACATAAAGCAATTCTGAGATAATATACGTTAGTTGTCATGGACGATATGATTATATCTTGTTTAAAAAACACAGGTTACTTACGTATTACGCGAGCGAGTCTAAAGTTACGAAAAATGTAAGTAATGTAACCATCTGGAAACACTGTATCTTCCTAGTCGGGTAATAATAATAATCAAAATTTTATACTAACCTGTACATACATCTTCCCAAGAAGTCGTCGGTTGAACGCTTTCAGTTCTTTTAGTGTGATATTTTGCACGATGTTTGCCTTATCGCGTGGAGATATGTAAGGATCTAGTAATACATTCATGCGCAAGTCTCTGCAAAAATTAGTATTTAATTACTTCTTCACAAAAGTATAGTCATTGTCACATCGTACCATACGGTTAGGGGCGTAATCCCTGCTTCGTGTGTAGGAGTAAATTTGTTAATTTTGTTCGTGTACATAGGAGATGAAATTATTTTTTTGGGCCTGCATCGCGTAAATATGTTTTTTTAAACAAACCAAAGTTTCGGGCCATTTACGGGTCCCATGGCCATGGTTAACTGAGAGGGTAAACTCATCAACCAGTTACGTCTAATATTATTAATATATTCTAATATATTGATAACTTTACATCTCAGTCAGTTGTGGCCATAGGGGGTGTGTAATGGAAGATATAACAACAAATAATCTATTTTCATTTGGTATAAAAACATTTGATATAATTTCTAAGGATATAATCACTAACTGTATATAATCAACAAAAAGTATAACAACAAAAGGCTTACTTTCAAAGTGTATAATAAACCTTCAGTATAACAAACATTAGATATAATTATTAAGTGACATAATGAACAAATGGTATAAGTACTACCAATATAATGTATTACATAATATAACACAATATTTCATTTTACGGATAGTTGAAGCGCCCCACATTATGTTGATAAGATTTTTTGTATTCCATTGCAACTGTTTTTGTATAGCTTTAAGTACTTTTTGTGATAATATATATTTATTAAAACTTTAAACAGAATATTTAATTGCATATACTAACCTAACCTAAACCCACAGGAGGAGGTCGAACCAACTAGCAAATGCAAACAAATTCGATTCTGGCAGCTTTATCATATACTAACCTAACCTAAACCCACAGGAGGAGGTCGAACCAACTAGGAAATGCAAACAAATTCGATTCTGGCAGCTTTGTCATATACTAACCTAACCTAAACTCACAGGCGGAGGTCGAACTAACTAGCAAATGCAAACAAATTCGATTCTGACAGCTTTGTCACATACTAACCTAACCTAAACTCACAGGAGGAGGTCGAACCAACTAGGAAATGCAAACAAATTCGATTCTGGCAGCTTTGTCATATACTAACC